GGCTGTTCTTTAATGCAAATGCCAAAAATAACAGGAAAGATGCAAGCAAATCCTACTCGAATCAGACAAATCACTATGGGGCGCAAACAGCATAAGCCACTTATTCATGAATTCTCTGGAGAAATGAATCGGCTTCAGGATAATATTAACCTTTCTGCATATAGAAAGGACAAAAAAGAAAACTGCAGGTTAAATTAATTTAGTTTGTCCCATACATCAATGCTATTTCTTTATCCTTCCAAATCAATAGGATCAATCATCCTTGATCCTATCACAGTCAATGATTAATTTTCTAGAACGAGGTCACTGTGCTGAAACATGTAAACAGACTTCTACACCCCAGGTCTTTGTTGTCAATGTCTATCAGAATATCTTCATTAGTTTTGTGTGACACCCAACCACTCTAGCCAAGAAAAACTAATGGCGTCCTGTCCAGAGGAACAGCATGAGAATATTTGCATTTTAAAACTGGCGTCTCAATGCATTCACCAGGCCTGGAAATTGAGTCCACTGGACATAATATTTGTTGAATGTAAAACATGACTGTCCAGAAAGACAGAAATAAGAGCCTTCTGTTCACTCAAGGTGGAAGCCAATAATTAAGAGACCTAAAAATTGTAATCTCCTGGAGATTAAATATCACAGGGATGGGTGGCAAAGATAAAGGTTTTGTCAACTGTATTTGCTAAACACCTTGGATTAAATCCAGTAAGACAATGTAACATTAGCAATTAGATTCGCCTCCACTTCTGCTTGGCAGAGAGCAGACACTAATAACTCTATTTAATATGCAGTATATGGCACCACTGCACCTAAGTTTGCAATCACTCATATAGAAAGGACAGATTCCCATTTTGTATAGCACTCTGAAACTCAGTAACTCTACCATTTGGGGCATTCATCAAACCCCTGATAGTCAGCAGAAAAGTCTGACGCGAGAGTGTACTAGCCTTCTTGGAACAACATTCTTGTACAATTAAAATTGATTTTGACCACATACAGTAGGACTGACCTCTATGACAGCAGTGCTAAAGCTTCACACTTGACGAAAAGGTGACAGACCTTTTACATGCTATCGGGCACGCTAAGGCCTTTTTGGCTGTCAGTGAGTCACAGGGCACATGTGATGCATTTCAACACAAGTACAGTACATAATCCAGCATTTCTGAATATACGAGCAAATTGGAGGTCAAACCTGATATTTTGATGGGAGTAAATGTCACCGAAATTGAAAATGAAAACACTGTACACTCTAGGTCAGTCTATAGTTCCTTCCTGCTTTAAGAAAACCACCATTGTCCCTGTTCCTAAGAAACCCAGAGTCAGCAGCCTGAATGACTACCGCCCTGTTGCACTCACATCAGTTATCATGAAGTGCTTCAAGCGGTTGGTCAAAGCATATGTCACCTCCTCACTGCCTGACACCCTAGACCCACTGCAATTTGTGAATCGCCAGAACAGGTCAACAGAAGATGCTATTGCCACTGCCCTCTCACACCTGGATAAGAAAGGAACATAATGTGAGAATGCTGTTTGTTGATTACAGCTCAGCATTCAATACCATTTTGCCCTCAAAGCTTGTCATCAAGCTCCAGGACCTGGGACTGAACACCTCCCTCTGTAATTGGATCCTGGACTTCTTGACGGAACGTCCGCAGGTG